AAAAGGGGGTCTTTTCCCTGCATTGTTCTAAGGCAGAGTCCCAGAATGCACCTTCCAGATGGAGCAGAGCCCTGAGAGCAGTGTTCACTTTCTGTACTGTAGCACATCGCACATGTGAGCATTTGTACTGGGCCCCTCATACACCCTGTGCTTGCACTCCTCACAGCAACTGTGAGTTCAGGTGCCACCATCAGCCAGTGCTCATGCAGTTGGAGTAATTGCCCAAACCAACAGCTGGAGTGTGGGAGTCCTGATCCGTCACCCTTGGGCTCCAGCATGTGCATGTTCTGCACATTGGAGGGGCACAGAAGTAAGATGATGGCTGCTTCTCCAGAGCCACCTTCCCTAGAGATCAGAGCTGACATATGAATGAAGCTTATGTATGAAACTTCATTGGGAAATATGGGATCCTACTCCCAGGGGAGCAGGAAGCAGGGAAGCAGAGCCAATAAATAACCTGGATGTGTTCCAACATCAGTCAGTCTCAGTGATGCTTTTGTCTATCTGGAGTGAAGAGGGGGCATTTTCTTAGTGGTTCTCATGCTCCATAGATAAGTTTGTCCCCCTAGGTATGAACAGTTTCCAGGTGTTACCTATGCCATCCCTGACTTCTGGGTTGTGGACACACAGGTCAAAATGAGTCCACCTGTCTCATGCCTCAATGAGAACATGTAGTTGGGGCTGGAGGCTGATGGCCTTACAGCTACCTCTAGGTCAGAAGGCATAAGTTAGAATCAGTGGTAGCTGACATTGGGCCTTTTGGGTATCATTGAGCGCAGGCACAGATGTGGATGGCATATAACCACATCTGGTCCACTCCAAGGACACAGCCACATTGGTTGCCATCTTCTCACTCCACCCTTACACAGCCCTGCAGGGAGGTGGGACAAGAAACCCAATGACAGGTGAGGAAACTGAAGCTCAGAGCATCCCAGAAGCTTCCCCTTGGATTCAGAGACAGAGAACATGTGTCTTCACCCCACATTTCTGACTGTTTTCCACAGTGCTGGGTCCAGGACATACAACCACAGGAAAGGACTCAAGCATGTATGGATCATATGGTCACCATGAGGGTGCAGACAAGGGCATTAAAGGAGCAAGAGGCAGAGGCTGGGGGCTGCAACTGTATGGGGACTCCCCAAGGCAGTGTTACCTGTTCTGGGCCAGTATGGGGGGCAGCAGGCTTGAGCCCCATAGAACAGTGGCTGCAAGACCTCACAAGCCATGTCATGCTCTGGGGAATAACAGCAGAGATCCTGGATGGGGCACCTCAGGTCAGGCCTCAAGGATTGGGGCCACCAAAGTGGTGGTATGGGATGGGGGTGGACAGGGAGGGGGAGGATCTGGGGAGAGGACAACGTGTAACTACAAGAAGCTCCTAGGCCCCGTTGCTTTGCCCACCTCCCCTCTGGCCAACCAGATGTTGTTACCCAGGCCAGCAGGGAGCAAAGGGCCTCTGGGGCTCAGCCTCTTCAGGCAGCTCTTCCTGTCCACACTCATCCCTGCAGGGCTACCTCTGGCTGTGCAGGGGAGTGGGTATGGCCTACCCACCTGACTGATGGCCCCTTTCAGGGACCAGCCATCAGCTCTCATACAGAGAGGCCCCCTTCTTCCATGTGCCCCAGAGAGCCAGGTAAACCCAGCTATGGAAACTGGTTGTCTACGCAGCTGGTGGGAGGGCCTCTGCCTCTCATCCTGTAGCCTTCATCCTGTCCTGTCCAACTGCCCCTTATGCCCACCTGGTGGGAGGGGGGCAGCTTTCAAGGTCTGTCCCCTGGGATAGAGTGAGTCACTTGTACCCGCCTCTCTGTGAGCACATTTTTTCTGAATTGATTAGGTTTATAATTAGAAGGTGCTTGCCCTTCTGCCTGAACAGAGGAGGAGGTGCTAGGAGTTGAGAGGAATCCATCTAGGGGTATTGTTTTGCCCCCCACTCCTTCTGCTGGTCTAGGCCAACTCCATCTAACTTGAGCAGAGGTGAAGGTGGGTCCTAAAGAAGGTGGCCCACACCAGCCAGCTCCATCCTCACCATCCCTTTGCTTGGTCCTTGGGTCTCACTGAGCTCTCTGCAGTGTCTGTAACCTGGCAATGGGTCTGGCTGTAGCCAGGTGCAGCAGAGGCAGGAGAAGGCCTGCCTGGGCTTCCTCCTCCCATTTGCACCTGGAAATTCTTGAAAAATGCCAGCACCTGAGTTGCCCACTAGACCAGTTAAGACAGACCCACTGGGGTGGGAGCTGGGCAGAATGGCTTTGAAAAGCCTCTGGGGTGTGCAACCACAGTTGAGGGCACCTGGTTTAGCTGGCAGAAGGCATTGGAGGCTGGAACTCTCAGCGGGATAGGTTTGTGGCCTTTTATCCTTCCTGCATGCGAGTCACCTGTGTGTCTCAATTAGATGCAGATTTGACCAGCAGGCCTTGCCTGGAATGATTTGTGCATTTTAACCATGACCAGGTGCCTACTGCTGTTTGGTTTTAGAGTGTCAGCACAGGGTTGGCTTCCTGAGTCCTGGCACCCTTGTGGCCTGTGAGGGGTGCTGAGCAATCTCACAGATGGGAATCAGATCCCAGGGAAGTGATAACCAGCTAGTGCAGTGTGCGACTTATACTGAGGGCTCATTTGATCCTCCCAGCAAACCTCTGCAGTAGTTAGTGCTCCCTCTACCCATTAAGATTCCCAGAGTTGAGGATCCTGGCAAAACTCACCTCTTTGCAGCTAGTTGCCCTGAATCCTGGTCCTCTGTGTCTCACTGTGAGATTTGGAGTGTGACTTTGCCCTTGGTGCCTTGTCCTCATCTTTGGATGCTCTCAGTGTGGGTTGGTGTTATTGTGAGAAATAAATGAGATGATTCAACACCAGCACTTAGTGTCACTTATGGTACATATTATGTACTGAGGGCGTTAGCTAATGCTGTTTGTTTCCTCCCACGGGCCTCTATGGGCTCTACCAATCCCCCACTGAACCTTGCCTGCCTTGGGTATTCGTGCTGGTCCCTCATCCAGGACCCTGTCCTTGAAGGGGACCTGTTCCTACTAGGCTCATCTAATCCCTCCCTGGCAGCAGAATCACAATGAGCTGAGTCTCCAGGCTGACTCTCCTGGTCTCCCAGGCAAACCTCCCCAGCACTGGGGCAGGTCTCCCTTTGGCAAGGGCTATTTGTTAGCAGCATGTTAGGGCATTCCCTTCTCCTATCATAGCACCTCCTACCTCTTCCATGGGAAAACAACATCTCATGACCTCAGGAATTGGGGTGAGGACTTATAGGTCAGTAGTCTAGGCTTAATCCAGGGAGGTACCTGGGGAAGACTTGGAAATTCTAGGATTTCCTTAGTGGAGTCTGTTTCCACTGGGCCCCTGATGTAGCATCTGAGAAATGAAGGGTTCACTCATATTAGTGATCCTCAGACTTGAGTACACAAGTCCCTAGAGGGCTTATTAAAAAACAAATATCAAGCTTATCTTTGAGCTTCTGATATGACAGGGGACAGGGCTGGGCATTGAGAATGTTCATCTAACATGCATAAGGTGCTGCTGCTGCTGCAACAAGCTAACTCTGAGACAGGCTCTCCTCCCCATCCTGGAGTGGAGGCTGTCCTGAGCCTGGGGTCAGTGCAGTATGCTGTGTCATAGGGAGGTGGTCCTCTGCTTGTAGAGCCCCTGGAGAGCAGCCCCCGTGGTCCTCTTGCAGCAGTAATCATGGCTAGTGTTTGCTTGACATAGTGGGAAAACTGAGGCTAGGATGGCTCTGAGGCTTGCCCTAGTCTACAAGGCTGAGCCCTCATGGACTGTGCAGGGGGGCATGAAGCCATAGGAGGGTATGGAGCCCTTCCCACTGCTTTCCCAATAACACCCCTCTTAGTACAAGGAACCACTCCTATGAGGAGCACCCTGCCGAGAGAGGGCTATGTGGCTTTGTGCTTGTGCCAGTGCTGGAGCAGAAGTACATGCTTGTGCTGTCTGTGCCCCCTGCCATGGCAGGAAGGTCCAGTTCTGCCACCTGACCTCAGCTGCCTATGCCTCATGCCCATCTGTCTCCCAGGGGTGGGAGGGGTGAGACTATGTGTGCAGCCACAGGAGGGAGAGCACACTTCCAGGCCTGGGTCTCAGAGGCCAGGGCCGGCAAAAGCTTCATTATCCTTTTACACTTGGTCAGTTGCCTGATGCAGAGACTGAGGCCTGGAGGACTTCAGAGTCTCCCCTGCTTCATGAGAACTTTCAAAAGAAGCCTAGCTGCAATGTTAGGTGGGAACCCTGTAGCCCTCAGCAGGGCAGCCACAGGGGACAGCCCTAGGGAGGCCAACAGGATGCCTGAATGCTCAGGTATCTACATGTCATTGGCATGTCAGATTCCACATGTTCAAAAGCAAGTCCCACATCTTTCCTTAGACCCTGCCTTCATGCTCTGTCTTGTGCTGGCCAATGTTCCAGGACTGAGACAGTCCTTCACAGTGTCCAGGGTCGGCCTTGCCCCCATTCTTCTGCTTCTACCTGACCTGAGGAGCTCTCTCTTGTTTATGGCAAATCTGGCCCAAATGGCTTCCAGATGCCTCCCATGAAGGCTCCCTCAACTATGTTCAGAGTGGCTTCTTCTCATGCTGGCCCTGGGGTATGTGTGGTCATCCTAGTCTCAGACCACCGTCTCTATTTATCCCCTTCATACACACTGGGCTTTGGACTGTCTCATTCCTAGGATGTTCCTTTCTGTATGGCCAACACCATTTTACATACATCACCTTCCCTCAGGCCGCCTTGACCACAGGCTCCCTGTATTTTCCTCCTGGCATTTTCTCCACAATTTCTCTTCTTCTCCTGCTTATAACCTTAGGAGGCAGGCTTTGTGTCCAGATCCCAAGATGAGGCCCCGTGTGCACATAGCAGGTGCTAAAGAAACATTTATCAGGTGTGCGGTGGCTAAGCGACCCCTTGGGTGGTATGTCTGGGGCTCTCACCACATACCCCTGAATACATGCAGGCTGCTTAATGGCCCTATTCTTCTCTCCTAGGAAACTATGCCCCAGACATCTGTGGTCTTCTCCAGCATCCTCGGACCCAGCTGTAGTGGACAGGTGCAACCCGGCATGGGGGAGCGAGGAGGCGGGGCTGGCAGTGGCTCTGGGGACCTCATCTTCCAAGATGGACGCCTCATTTCTGGGTCCCTGGAAGCCTTGATGGAGCACCTGGTCCCCACGGTGGACTATTACCCCGATGTGAGTGCCTGAGGTCTTGGGGAAAGTTACAGGGAAATTATCTGGTTCCAGGAGAGGCTGCTTCTGGGAGGAGGGGGAGACCTAGACAGTCCCACTTCCTGTACCTTCTTCACCCTTTGACCTGCACACATCAGCTCATGCCTGGAAGAAGCTGCAGTGGCTTCTCTGCTGCTGCTAGGATGGCCCTGGAGGCATAGGAAGCAGAAACACACAAAGGACCCAGCCCCTAGGGGAGGAAGAGGAGTTTAAAGAGCAAGTCCAGAACTCAGGTCCTGATGAGGGTAATCCAGCTCATTTCCTGGAAGCCATCTCTGAGCCGACAAACTTATTTTGTGCATAAACCTCATGATCCAGAACAAAGGATGTCAGTCCCACCCTGAGGTATGCAGACCCTAACATATGGAGCAGCAGGCCCTCAAGGGCAAGGCTGTTCTTCATCAACACAAATCCTTCCTTTTAACCTAAATATGGTGTTGTACATTCTGAGAATTGAGAAAACATTCCCTTGTCATGTGTGGCTTCCTTCCGCCTCTGATGAGTGACGTCTCTTAGCAATAGTGGGTCTGTAGGCCTGCATGCTTCCTTTTGTGAGCTGAGCATCCATCTTCTGGGAGGGCCTGTTCTGGACCCTTCATCCTCTGAGGGCAGTCATCGCCTTGGCTTTGGCTGTTCAGATGCAGTTTGCAGGAGGTGCAGGCAGAATGGTTGGTCTCCAGCTTCTTCCTATTGGCTGTGCTGGAGTCACCTCAGCTTCCCCTCCTGTCAGGCCACTACCTCCTTCTAGGGCTCTGGGAAGATACACCTTTGCATTGTCCACTCCCCTGTTTTCCTGTCCACCCCATAAGCCCTGTCAGGGACAGTGCTGATAGTACAGACACTGCTGCTAAGTGCCTGGGGCAGAGCCAGGAGGAGAAACTTCAGGTCCTGAAGAAGCCCAAGGCAGGACTGTGACCCTTCAATGCTAGTCAGCCTGTGGGTCAGTGGTCCTGTGCCATAGCAGGAAGAACTCCTCATCTCATAGGCTTATCCCAGAGGAGCCATCCAGCTGTTATCCAATGTAGTTCTTAGAACATTGTGCTCTACGATCCTGACTGCTTCCCAGGAGAGAACAGAGAGATGACAAGGGCAGAAAGTAGGCCAGGAGAGTCTAGCTGGGTCTTGGCTCCTCTGCAGAGTGCCTGGGTTCCTCATTTCCTCACTGCCAGACAGGCATGGGGGCCAGACACATACACCCCAGTAAGTCTTCACTTTTCCTGGAGATGGTAATGGCTCCTCCCCTATCTGCCTTAGCCAAGAGGTGATAGTGTGCTTTTCCTTATGTATCTGAGTTGTCTGTTTATGAAGAGGACCTGAGAGTCCTACCTGCAGCTGGGACCCATAAGCACCCATGCTGCACAGCCTAGCTCAGAGCACAGGAAGTGTGTGTGGAGGTAGAGGATACCCTGATATTCCAGGGAGGACTCCTAGTAGTCTTATTCCCCACATGGAGGGCTGCTTGGGGGCAGTGAGGACCCCTTGCCCTGTGTCCTGCTCCAGTAGGTCTGCACTCCCAGGAAGCTTGGCCATGTTATCTTTGGGCTGGAGCAAGGAAATTTGTCCTTTGGGCTGGGAGTTGGGGTGGATGGACCTGCGCTCCCACTTCTCAGCCTGTGGCAGCCATTTCAGGACAGAGTGAGGTTGAGTGGGGTAGATTCCCTCCCAGGAGCCCCAAGGCTGCCCCAAGCAGCCTCATGGAGATGGTATTGACCCACAAGTCCACCCTACCTATAAGCAGAGTCCAGTATGAAGATTCCACAGGAACTGACCCTGCAGATGGAAGGCCTGAGAACCCTTGGCCACAGATTCCCCTCGCCACCCTTTAGTCCAGTCCTTGAGGATCCTGGTGATAAGGGCACATGGATATGGGATGGAGGGGCCCTGGAATGGCAGTTGGGGTGAAGGGCCACACCTGGTCACAAGACCCAAAGCTTTCCAGGTCCTGTCTTCCAAGGCCCTGTCCCTGCTGACCAGGCCATGTCCTACTTGACCTATCAGCTCCACTTAGTCCACCAAGTCACATTCCCACTGACTAGGCCCGATCCTTTCCCTCTGACTGCTCTGTCCACCCTCCCCATCAAGCCACTCTGCTGCCAACATAGCCCTGCCTCACTGAGCAAGCCATCTCTCCCAGGTGTTCCCCACTGACCTTGGGCAAAGCCTGCAAGGATCTGGAGAAGCAAGAGGCCTGGACCCGGTCTCAGGGAGCATCTCGGGCTGGGCAGCATGCCCAGACAGCCCCACCATCATCCAAGACTGGCTCCCATTATAGAGTGGGACAAAGGGTGCTGGAGAATTCCAGCAAGCTGTTCCTCCAAGGTGGGAGGGATTGGAGTAGCAGTATGAGAGAAGCAAGGTATGTAAGGTGAAGGAAACCAAGCAGGTGAAGGCACAGAGGCCCCACATGTGATGCTGGCCTGGGAAGGGCCAGGCCAGGAAGAGCAGTGGCATGAGCCTACCTGGATGCTGCCATTCCAGGCCTGACCAGCACTTTGCCTGTCTCCTTTCTTCAGAGGACATACATCTTCACATTCCTCCTGAGCTCCCGGGTCTTTATGCCCCCTCATGACCTGCTGGCTCGAGTGGGGCAGATCTGCCTGGAGCAAAGGCAGCAGCTGGAGGCTGGGCCTGAGAAGGTATGAGTGCGAAGGGATGCTGGTGCTGTCTGTGTCTCTTGGGGTGTGGCTTCTCTTGGTCTGAGGGGAGTTGCCAGAGCAGAGAACTCCTTCTAGGATGCTCCAAGTCCCTACTATTGATGACACTTGCACCCCTTCCAGGGAAGGGCCCCCTAGACAGCCCTCCAGACCAATGCCAGTCTCCCTGATATGGAAGGTTCTGTTATAGGCAGCAGGACCTGGACCATTGCCACCTCATGGGGGGTGGGGGTCAGGTGGCAGTGTCCTCAGCCTGTCACTGCTCGAGTATTTTATAGGGGCCACAGTCTCTTCTGGATTGAGCCAGGTTTCAGACAGTCAGGAAGCCATAGCTTGACCCTGAGGCCCTCAGAGGCAGGCATTTGGACAAGACTTTCAGAAGCTCAGGGTCCAAAGTGGAAAAATGGGCGGTGGTCATGATATCCAGGAGCTGGCAGGGCTGTCAGAGCAGCAGAGGAGTGTGGCCCGGCCTGCCCTTCACCTCCCTGCTTCATGTGGCCAGACCTTCTGTCACTGGAGGTTTGCAGAAGAGGCCCCTGAATGCCATGTGCCCTCCACATAGTCTTCTCAGAGTAGCTGGCACCAGGTGGTCCAGTCCAGAGCACTGGCCAGTCATGTCACCCAAAAGGGGCAGGTTCCAAGCATATGCAGGGCTGGGGCCTGAGTTGTGTGAGAGCCTGGGTCCCCAGAGCATTAGGGGTCATGATAGCCTGGGTCCCCAGAGCAGTCATGGTTCATGCTGTGGCCATAACAGTTGGATTGGAGCAGTGTGGTGGGGAGCTGATCAGGTATGGGAGGAGCCATGGTGGGTGCAGGAGTGGTTCTGGCCTCTGTGGGCATTCTGGTGGGTCAGTGGGAATTTGGCAACAGAGCATCCTGCATTGCTTCCTCTCTACTTCATGGGGGCAGAGGCCATGTAGGCACCCTCTGAACAAGATGGGCAGCTGCGCCCACACCCTCCTTCCCTCAGCCCTGTGCCAGGGTGCAGGGCACCTGTCCCCAGGCTGCATGTGCAAGTTGACACAGGTGACAAGGGATACCTCTGCCTTTCTTGACCAGGAGTCGTTAACTTACTTGCTCCTCAGGTCTACACCCTGCCCTACAGCACTCGCAAAATTGTCTTTAACAGAGAGGGCAGATAAGCTTCTAATTTAACATTATGATTTTATTTGATTTTCCTGTATGCTTTTTATGGGTAACATTTAAGTATTGCAAGTAAATCTATGTTATAATAGTGATGGGTTATGGTTTTGGAAATTAATTTGTTTAAATGACAAAAAAAAAAGTTTATTTAAGGGAAGTAGGAAACAAAAAGGAGTCTCATAGGTCATTCTGGTGTGGCAAAACCACAGGTGGCATGTGTGGCAGAGGGACATGTCCAGCACAGGCCCTGGGCTTAGGGGTATGGGTCCTGAGGGAGAAGGAAGCTGTGACACTTGCCATCTTGCAGTCCAATCTGGCCCATGGGGCCTCACACCGATCCCTGCTGCCCTAGGCCAAGCTAAAGTCGTTCTCCGCCAAGATTGTGCAGCTCCTGAAGGAGTGGACAGAGGCCTTCCCCTATGACTTCCAGGATGAGAAGGCCATGGCGGAGCTGAAGGCCATTGCTCACCGTGTCACCCAGTGCGATGAGGTGAGGTCCTCCCTCAGCCCCTGATCAGGCTGCTTGGGTATGTCTTCTGGAAGGTGGGGTATACAGACACAGACTAGTATTGATCCCCTTCCCTGTTACTCCCTGAAGAGAGTGGCAAGGTGGCTCCACCGGATCTGCCACATCCCCAGATGCAGCTTAGCTGGCCAGAATTGGGTCAGCTTTGCCTACAAACACTGCATGCAAGACTGTTGCTATGAACCCTCTTCTGGCCCTTGGCACCCTTGTTGGGACCTATTGAGAGGATATGAGTCTGTATGCTCTTTCTAGCTCCTAGCTCACTGTTGGCCTTCGCTGGAGATAGGAAACCCAAGGAGCTGAGAGGGTCTCTCTGTGCTGAAGAATTTCTTTGTGTTCCACAGCTCCTATTCCCTGGGGGACTCAGGAAGCCCTGGGAGAGCTTTGGGAGAGATTGGGGACCCAGGCTGTCCCCACCCAGGGTAAAAGCCCTTCTTGATGCCTTGACTCATGCCATGGCCCCCTCCTGATGCTGGGAGGCAGTGACAAGCAGCTCAGCTGGCCACCTCTGGGAAAGCCACACTTTTCAGACCCAGAAGACCAGTTCTGACCCTGCCCTCAGCCCTTCTGCTAGCAGGATAGTTCATGGAGCCCACCTTCCTCAGTAGGCCTCAGAGGAGCCCACACTGCATCCCTCTCTCATCAAGGGTTCAGAGGCTCAGAGCAGCTTTGGACTTTGTGGGCTCAAAGTCAACCATGTCTCTGGTGATGAGATGGGTTTCTCATGATGGCAGTGGACTTACCACAAGCCCACTTCAGCACCCTCACCACTCTCTGACACTCACAGGAGAATGGCACAGTAAAGAAGGCCATCACCCAGATGATACAGAGCCTGCTGCTATCCCTGGCCACCCGGAGCCAGCTCCAGGAGCTGCGGGAGAAGCTCCGGCCACCAGCTGTTGAAAAAGGGCCTGTCCTCAAGGCCAAGCCACCGGCCGCTCAGAAAGACATCCTGGGCGTGTGCTGTGACCCCCTGGTGCTGGCCCAGCAGCTGACCCACATCGAGCTGGTCAGTGCAGCCAAATGCTCTGCATGGAGTAGGGTGGGACTAGGGCCACATTCACTGCTGCTTGGACAGGGCTGCTGGACCCAAGTGTCCCTCTCAATGTAGTGCTGCCAAGATCCTTGCCAGCCAGACTGGGCTGTCACAGGGAAGCTGGCTTGCCAGCCTTGGCCTGTGTGCCTCAGGCTGGCTGTGTCCAGCTGGTATCAGGTCTGAAGGAGCATGGCAGCCCTGTGTGAATGGGAGGGTTTGGTACTGCATTGTCCTAGTCCCAGGATGGAAGATTGGCCTGGGAGGAGAAGGGCCTGTGCCCTAGGCAGGCCTCCACTGTCTCCAAGGTCTTAGTCACTCTCCCCTGCAGTTCTTTTTCCTCTTTTAGGGGAGGCTGGTCACCCTCCCTTTGCTGTCTCTCCCCCATAGGAGAGGGTCAGCAGCATTCACCCTGAGGACCTGATGCAGATCATCAGCCACATGGACTCCTTGGACAACCACAGGGTGAGTGGGCTGAGGTCCAGGCTGCACTCAGCATGACTCTGGAGTGTCAGATCATGAAACCTGATGGCTTTCCTGGTACCCATTTAGGGGGTTCAGCAATGGCCACACAGAGTGATGCATGCTGGGAGGGACACAGGCTCTGCTTGGGGCTGGGGAGCTAGCATGACCTCCCGGCTTAGCTGAGCACTGGGCAGCCAAGGAGCAGGCAGGTGTGAGCAGTGGGAACTGACTTGCCCAATCAGGGTCCTCTGGGATCCCTGTGACTTGCTTTGTAACCCCCAGTGCCGAGGGGACATGAACAAGACCTACAGCCTGGAGGCCTATGACAACTGGTTCAACTGCCTGAGCATGCTGGTGGCTACTGAGGTGTGCCGGGTAAGCACGTGCCACAGCAGATGTGTGTGGGGTGGTCATGCCCTTTCCAGACCTGGTGAGGTTGTGAATTTTGCCCTGCCTGCCTCAACTTATATGGAACTTTCTCTCTCTCTCTCTCTGTCACACTTTAAAAATTAAGAAAAATATGAAAAAATTCATATTTTTATACAATAAAACATTATAATTTGGCTAATATCATTCCCCTGTATTTCCCCTTTAGACGATGGAACTTTCAAAGTAAGCACATGAAGTGTCCATTGCCAGGGCCTTGGTAGTGCTCCTACCCTGAAGCCTCCATATCCAATGATTCCTTAAATGACAATAGGGATCCCATATGTGGGAGTGTGCCCCTTGTGCCCAGCACCATTCTGCCAGCCTTGGCAGGCAAACAGCCCATCCCTTGTATGGCTGAGGAGATACATCAGGTGTTGGACATGTGTCTGAGTCTCACAGATATAGCCTTGAATCTCCCAGACCTGGAAATTAAGTCCCAAGGAACTTCTTGACCCTCTGCCCAATGGCCCCAGCTCCTGTGGTCTGTTGGTGGCTCCACACTGAGGTCATCCTGTTGCCTTCTAGGTGGTTAAGAAGAAACATCGGACCCGCATGCTGGAGTTTTTCATTGATGTGGCCCGAGAGTGCTTCAACATTGGAAACTTCAACTCCATGATGGCCATCATTTGTGAGTGCTGGCACAGGTTGGGGGCTGCCCACACCACCTGCCTCCTCATGCTCTGACCCCTGCCCACTGTCCCTGCAGCTGGCATGAACCTTAGTCCAGTGGCTCGGCTGAAGAAAACATGGTCCAAAGTCAAGACAGCCAAGTTTGATGTCTTGGAGGTAGGTACCCAAGTTCATGGCACAGCCTAGTGCCCCACCTTTGTCCTGTGTTGGCAGCAGGGGTGGGATCTTTCCTTTGATTCAGACATGTATGGAGCTGGCCTGCTGGTGGGTTCTCAAGCTGTCCTTGGCCATTGCTGCATCCAGTAGAACTAGCATTGCCTAGAGCAAGTTAGAGAATGGAGAGTTTGACAAAAGGGATGATATCCACTGAGCAGTCTTACTGGCCTTTTCCTTGGTCAGCTTTCCCTAGTTCTGGATTATCTGGGTTGCCCAGAGGCTGGCAGACCATTTAGCTCATCTGCAGTCCTTCCCAGATATATTTCTATCACCACCTCCCGACCTCTGGCAAAACATTTGTCCCGTGGAGCTGGTCAGGTCTTAGAGGTGTCAGTATAAGAGCAAAGCAAGGTTTTGAAGGAAGGGGGATGAGACCTGGGTATAACAGGGCAGGGCTGTGACACTTCTTTATAGTTTTCCACAGGCTCCAGTGTTCAGCAGGCACCTTTTGGTTTTACCCACTCTGTGCTCACTCCTGGGCTCCTCTAGGGACAGTGACTTCTCCTCTTGCTGTCTTGTGCTCTGCAGAGGGCATGCTGAGTGGGTCTGAGGGGCTCACCTGGTCCTTGCTATGCCCACAGCACCACATGGATCCATCCAGCAACTTCTGTAACTACCGCACTGCCCTGCAGGGGGCCACACAGCGGTCCCAGATGGCCAATAGCAGCCGTGAGAAGATTGTCATCCCAGTATTCAACCTCTTCGTTAAGGACATCTATTTCCTGCACAAAATCCACACCAACCATTTACCCAATGGGCACATTAACTTTAAGGTGAGCCCAGTCCCTTGTGGTTCTAGCACAGTTGGGCAGGCAGAGACCATGTGTCCCCACAGGTGTGGTAGTGGCTTTGTGGCAGTATTTGCAGGTTTCCCAAGCTCTGCCTGAGGTTTGGAAGGGCTTTAAGGACAGAAACATCAGCATTACTGCTTGGCCATGAGATGTAAGGCTCGAGGAGTGGACTGTGCCCTTCTTGAGGGAAGACTTGATCACAGAGTTTGTTGACACAGGGAACCTATATTTACCCAGGATCCTGGTTTCACCATTGATCCCACCCAGGAGATAGAGCAGAGGCCACTTCTGGGGAATTGGGGATCAGGAGGGTTTTATGCAAGAAGGAATTTGAATACAGATGAGATAGCAGCAGAAAAGGGCTCTGACCAAGGACAGGAGGACAGGACAAAAGTGCCTGGGGAAGTATAGGTGGCACTGGGCTCATACAGGTAAAGAAGGGGTGGGCACTGTGGATGCCTATATAGGCCCTAGAAGTGAGATCATGGCATGTCCTGGCTGATACTTCTGTGTTGGGTGTGGCCAGGATGCTGCCTCAGGCTGGAATCATAAATGGAGCCCTATCAGGGGAGACACAGACCCTGCTATAGTCTGATGGCCCAGGCAGAAGGCATGATAGAGTGGCCTCAGGGAACATATGCTGGTTCTGATGTAGCCCAAGACACCATGGCCCTGGGGTCAGCCATGCAGGGCCATTGTCTCCATCTCAGTGGCACTAATGACTGCAGCGGCAAGACCAGAAACCATACCCTCTGCCCCTGACTGGGTTTTAAGCTCACAATGACAGATGAATACCTTATTGGTTTTCTGTACCTTCAGAAATTTTGGGAGATCTCCAGACAGATCCATGAGTTTATGACATGGACACAAGTAGAATGTCCCTTTGAGAAGGACAAGAAAATTCAGAGTTACCTGCTTACAGCGCCCATCTACAGCGAGGAAGGTAAGGGCCCCTTCCTGGCAGTATGCCCCACTTGCCAGCTGGACAATTGACTCCCCATCTAGGCCTCTTGTCCTCTTGGGATTGCCCAGAATCACATAGGGGCTACTCAGCTTGCAGCATGAGTGTGCATGAGGGTGGGTTATGGACATATGACAGATAAGGAGGACAGGATGCTATTCAAGAGAACCAAAACAAGGAAGTACCTGAGTCCCTTGACAAGAAGTCTAGGAATTCCTTGCAGTAGAAACCTGCATATTACCCAGCCAGAGGTTTTTGTCCCTTTGTCCCAGGACTAGCTTTGCCCCTGGAAGGGATAATTGGGTGTGGCAGGCAGACACCCAAGGAGATACTGGTTCTAAGAGCTTTCCCATCCTCAGCTCTCTTCATCGCCTCCTTTGAAAGTGAAGGTCCTGAGAACCATATGGAAAAGGACAGCTGGAAGGCCCTCAGGTAGGATACCCCAGGGACCCAGGAGCCCACAAGGAAGGGAGAGGACTGGGAGCAAACATGACAATCTGCCTTTCTGAAAGGGGTCCTGGGGCAGTGGGAGACTGAGGACTGGGTCTGGATTTGGGCCCTCCCCATCACAAATCAAGGACCTACACTTTCTGCCTGCTCAGGAGCCTGACTGTTGTCCTGTCCCTTGCCCACCTTTAGGACCACTCTCCTTAACAGAGCCTGAGGGTGTGGATGCAGCCTGCACGTAACCGGATGAAGCACATGCACAAACCAAGTTTGAATCTTGATTGATATGGGTTGAGATGAGGAGGCCTCACTGGTTGGGGTCCATTTTGTATATAACTTTTATGAAAAAGAAAATGGTAATTATTTCATGCATCAACCTTTGGCACTTATAAAGTTTTTTTGTTTATTTTAAATAACAGGGCAGGGCCCTGCTTTGGGGAGGGGTGGGGAAAGAGTATCATGGGAGATGGCATCCATGATAACATCTTATTCTAATGAAATGTAGATTTTTATTTTATACTTTTGATTATTAACATCTTATGAAAAAAATATTTTAAAAAACCCAACCAAAACCAACGTGAGCCCTGCCTGCTCGGACGCCTTTCCAGCCAGTGTCTCTGATGTCGGGGTTAGTGCCTTAGAGGGTACTGGGGGTCCGGTCTTCCTGCTCTGTTGTTTGAGCCTGCAGTGAGCTCTGCCCTGAGCTGTGAGGTGCTCACCCTCAACAGCCTAGGCCATGAGGTTCCAGGGGGAAGGGCTGGGGCACCTGGGAGGTCTCGTGTATACTTCTGGAAGTGAACCTTTGAGTGCGGGCTCTCCAAAGTTTACATTTTCATTTTCCTTTATCAGGGATTTATGGGGTCGGGGAGGGGCAGGGGGACACCTGGTGGCATATTTTCTGTAAAAATATGTCTGGCAAATTCTTCGATTGTGTTTTAGACAAGAAAATCTAAAGTAATAAGGGGGAGGGAGTCATAGCATTGCAGTTTTCATGGCTGTAACTGAAAGACACACTGAGCTGTAATGAAGAGAACACCAAGTAGACTCGGGATGGTGACATTTAAAGCTGTTCTCGAAACCCACGCACAAAAGGAAGAGAAAGAAGCAAAGTCAGTGTGCTAGGGGACTTGCCCTCCTCTTCTCTCTGGTGGGAGGCAACCTCACTGGAATCTAAAATCAGATCAGAAAATTAGCCAGGCTGAAACTGCTGGAGCCCTTTCAGATGGAACTGCCCAACACTGAGAGGTATTTTTCTAAACCCAAACCAGAAGAGAACACTCCATTTTTCATGTCTGACTTCCTGGCGTGAACCTTGGGCCTTACTGACCGTGGGACTGGACGGCTCTCTCCTTTAGAAAGCCAGAGGCGGTCCATCCACACTGACTGTCTCCCTTGCAGGAGCTTCTCATCCTTGTCCCTCTCCACTTGCCTGGCTTTGGCAGGAGCCACGAGTCAGGAAGCCAAGGCAGGGACCCTTTAAGGTCCCAATTCCAGAGCTCAGAGGGAGAGCCTGGAGACGACTGGGCCAGGCCTCGTGAAGGAGGCAAAGTGGCTGCTGCCCTCAGCCGGAGTGGAGCTGATTAGTTACACTGTATTGTCACAGTGTGTTTGCACTTTTCAGACATTCTAGCTAGTCCAGATTGTATACTGATAGTACATCTTGCTTTGTTTATGTCTTTGAGATAAAGAAAGGCTGAAACTTGAGAATATATATTTGGAATACAATGTTAGAACATTTTCTGTATGTGTGTTAAAGAGCCTTTTATGTCAATGTGCGCTTCACGGGTCACCAGTTCTACTTGAAACAGTGTCTATGTTTGCTATTTTATTTTCCCAATTTGATACATACCTTCAATTTGATGTTTTGGTATTTGGAGCTGATCTCTGAGTATAAAGCTGTACCATAGCACAGGATGTCAGTTTTGGTGTGACTGGACGTACTTGCATCAATAAAAGAACATGTTGCTCCCCACTCTTGTGTGTGCCAGGTGGTATGCCTTACGTGGTGCCAGCAGCCCAAGCTAGAGGGGAAGAGAAGGGAGCATCCAAGGGGGAACCTGGCAGGGAGCATTCATCTGCAGTTGGGCAACATATTCTCACAAAGGGCTTTTCCAATGTGCAGTGCAAGACTAGAACAGGCTGCACAGTGTTCCAGTCCTGCTTTCCTCAAAGCTGGTTGCAAAGGATGCCACTAGCTGCTTTAGTACATGGTCAGGTAAGTTGAGGACACTTAGTGAAAAATGCAAAGGCTCTTTCACTGCAGGAGCCTTCACAGTCGGAACCTGTATGAATGTGGACCTTGTGGGTCTTTAGGCCCAGGGAGGGCTGGGCAGCACTTGTTAACATCTTCCCGTGGAGGCATATGCTGGATTCAGGTCTGGATGGGGCTTGTCTTTGCATTCAAGAATATCCAAGCAGGGTTTACTGAAGGGCACATGAAACTTGGGAAACTAAAGGGACTGAGGCACCAAAAATGGGAAGTCCCCCTTCTTTTCCAGCCTGCCCATTCCCTGCTGTAGACAAGGCCCAAGCTGGATGAGGTCCTCACTACAGTCTAACCCTGTGCATTCACAGTAAACTCCACTAATTTCTAATTTGTTCATTATCCAACATTTGCACAAGACCAGCACAACCCAACAGAAAACTTTCTGCAGTGACAGAATGTTCTATAACTATACTGTCCAATATAATGGCCACTAACTACATTTTGTGGGTACTGAGTATTGAAATGTGGCCAGTGTGCTCAAGGAACTAAATGTCTAATTAAGTTTAAATAGCTGGTAGCCACTGCATCAGGCCAAGGCTGAGTGTGTACCAGCATCTGGTACACAGCACTAACAGGTGCTCAGGTGTTTATAGAGAACATGAGCTTGTAGTTTGTACAGAACATGTGAAGATACCTGAACTTTGGGCAAATGACAATATGTTTATGGCATTCCTAGTTTCCTGGTAAAGTTATTTTTGAGTTTCACCTGCCCAACCAAAGAAGGGGCAGCACATCTGTGCATTGGATGTGAGCTTGTGTGACCTGCAACGACACTATCCTTCGCCCATTTTGTTTCCTGGGAAACAAAATGTGCATTCTCAGGCCCCATTCCAGATATGCTGAATTGTAAAGCCAGGGGAAGCCTAGTATAGCCTGGCTGCAAACCATGTTGGAAAAGCTCTGTGCAGTTAGGGGGCTGTGGGTGGGCTCCTGCATGTCTACCTCCTTATAGCCCACCTCTCCCAGGCGCCCTCTACTCACACATGGAACTTTTGTATTTCTGCCAACACATCATACTCCTATACCCTGCTCCCATTCTTGCAAAGCTAGGAGACTGCAGTTAAGTCTGCATGAGCCCCTGAAATGTTCCCTGGGAATGGTGACTAGGCTCCTTGGGGTTGTTCCTCATTTCTTCGTCACACTGTATGTGGGCTGCCAGTGTCCATCTCATGTCCTGGTTCTTCTGTGCAGTGCCATTTCCTCTGAAGCTATGCCCAGTGAACAGTAAGTACATGGTTTCTCACAACACCTGTGATATCCAAATGTTACCTCTTACCTCACAAAGTTGCACAAACAGATCTATATTAGAGCTCCAGGTGTGGCAAGAAGAGGAGCTAAGGATCTACTAAGATCCTGTTGAGACCTTTGTGACAGATTACTTGTGACATACATATCTCCCGCACCTACACCTGTTTGCCATGTTCCTTAGGGAGGCCAAAAAAGGCAACGGTCAGAGTGAGAAGTGAAGTTAAAACTACTGGATCTAAGTTTTGGTCTTCAGCTGCCAGATGCTTGAACAAGTTATCTGGCTCTTTAAACCTCCATTGTCCCAGGATTAAAATGGGAATCACCCTAGTAGGTTCAAGGCTCTGGGTTCAATCTCTAGCAAGGATGTGGGGAAATTAGGATCACCTGGCTCATGGTTTGGAAGAGTAGATGGCATGGAGCATGGGTGGCACCTCATGATGCTGAGCTGCTCTTCTGCAGAGAGCAGCAGTTTTTGGGAAACAAGAGGCAAGCCTTATGCTCAGCACCCTTCTCACAGGAACACTTGAAGTCCTATCAATGCCAAAATACACTATCATCACCAAAGAGCCACTTAGTTATTAAATCCAACCAGTATACAAACTTACATGAGGAAAAAAGATATTTGAAAATTTGGGATTTAAAACTATTTCCTAAACAAATTCTATAAGCCACATACAGACCAGTTTAGATCATGTTAACACAATTTCTATCTTTATTCCTTCCAAAGGAGTCCTAGTACTGTGAGGAGGGTAAGGGACTGCCAAAACACTACAAGTATCTACCCCAACATAATCAGGAACTCATGATGGATCTTCAGCAGCAGTGTTGAGTAAACAATATTGGAAAGGATATAAGAAAGCAAATTATGCACCTGTCCATTTCTGACACCATGAAAGACTAAGTAACTGCCTGATTAAAACAACCCATAAAGTTGTACAAAATGTACAAATATAAGTGAAGGCAGGACCCAGAGAAGTCCAGAAAGAGCTGAATTCAGCTTTTGTCCCATGAGCATCCATTTTTTTTTTTTTAAGTCCACAGGGAGATGCAGAAGGTGATCCGGAGTCTGCTCAAGAAGAGGGATCAAAGAGGAAACCCTGCTTGCTAAAGCTGGCATCCCAGAAAACCACCCCTCAGTGTTTTAACAGTGAACTTGAAATAAAATGCCCTAACCAAAGCCCAACCAAGGATGTTAAGAAAAACTGTCTGTTCTGAACCTCAACATTAAATGGAGTCAGGGAAACTCAACATTTGTAATCACAAGCCAGTGAGCTCTACAAAGTTTTGCAGGGTCAGAAAAAAAATAAACTCACATATAGATATATCAGAATGATACAGAAGAAAGATTAAGAGGAGATGGATAGCCAGTCAGAGAAAAGAAGGCTGATTACTTTCAAAAAAGGGCCAACATAGGTAATAATTTACAGCAGAAATAACTAAAGACAGGAGGCTATGGAATAACATCCATGTGGCTGAAAAGAAAAATAATTGCCAACCTAGAATTCTTTGCCCTTCAAATATATGTTGTTTAAATGAGAGAAAATAAAGATATTTACAAACTACAATGGAGCTATCAGCAGATCTTCATCAAAACAAAAAACCAAAAAACTAACCAACCAACCAACCAAACAAACACAAAAAACCCCCAAAACAATGACATCAACAATAAAAAAACAAACTAAAGAACAACTCTTGGCTCCTAAAATTTCCAGATTTATCATAGTTCTAAATTTTAAAGACAATATAATAAATTATCTAAAAGAAAACATGAAATTTCCTTCTATATTTTGGAATAGGCAAAGGTTTCTTAACACCAAAATCATTGGCTATAAAAGAAAGAAAACTGATAATTTGGACTTTTTTGTAATTAAGAACTCTTATTAACAGATACCATTAAGAGAGTGAAAATTAGGCCCATACCTGGGAAAAGATATTTGTAATGTATAAATCTGACAAAGGACTCAAATCTATAATATTGAAGTAACTCCCATTAATCAGTTTTTTAAAAATATAAGCCAAATTTTTAAAAAGGCAAAAGACTTTTTTATCACAAAAGGAGGAAGCTAAATGGCCAAAAAGTCATTGGTATAAGGTATTTAACATTTCCCTGATGATATACTAAATTAAAACCAAAATGAGATAACTATACCTACCTACTGAGTCTAAATTAAAACTACTGTAAATATGGTGCTGGGGAGAATGTGAAGCTACTGGATGTTTCATACATGGTTGATAAAGGTCAGTTATTTGAAAGGACTGAAAATTTGCCAACACCTCACAAAGCCAACCAAGAAAAAATATGAGCTAGACATGATGGTACATCTCTTTAGTCCAAGCTACATGGCAGGCTGAGGCCAGAGACTGAGGCAGGAGAATTGCTGAGTTTGGGGCCAGCCTGGGCAAAATAGCGAGAATCCATCTAAAT